AGTTGAGCATGGTGGTGTATTTCTGCAATCCTAGCACTTGGGAAATTGAGGCAGTAGGGTTGTGAGTTTGAGAACAGCCAGGGCAATTTAGCAAGTTCAAGGGCAGCCTGAATTACGTGGTAAGATCCTGTGGGTCCCCCCTACCCCAAGACTGTATTAATCAGCTTTAGGTCACTATGACAGATAAGTGAGGTAAATTGTAAATAAAGAGAAAAGGTTTGTTTCGGCTCAGTTTTAGAGATTGCAGTCCAGCATTTGTTGGTCCTTTTGTCTTTTCTCATTAAACCTGCGTGACATATCGTGGTGTTTGTGCATGATGGCACAGCAATTCTGTGGGCCTGGTAAGGGAAGGAGGAAGGGTCTAGAATGCCCCTGTCCCCTTTGAGGGCATGCCTCCAGGGACTTGAAGACTTCCACTAGGCCCTTCTAAAGGCACCACCCTTCCCAACAACACTACACTGGCGACCAGCCCATTAACACATAGGCCTTTGGGGACATTGAGGACACAAACAGTTGCAACTTATAAACTCTCATTTTAGACTCACTCTGGACTGTTGTTCATTACTATCATTTTGCTGCTTGAATCACTCCAGTTTGGTCAGTGGAGCTTCAGCTGGGTCCTGGGTCCTTGGATTTGGCCTAATCCTTTCTTCAAAGTGTTGAACCAGATGGACCAGGCTCACCTTGTCCTTTCCTTCCCAACCTGCAACTGCAGCTTGTTTAGGGAGCCTTGGCCCTTTCGCTTAAACTGGTTAGGAAACAAAGTCAATCTTTGTGTTCCCTTCTCTGGCTTTTGGCCACTTGATTCAGTGTTATTTGTTTTTTTCAGTTATACCTGTCATTTTGCAAAGTTCTATAGAATTATATTTACGTGTGTAAGTTTTCTTCAGCATTATTATTTTGTCATGCTTTAATAAGATCCTTCCAAAACAATGCACAGTGTTCAGCAGTCTCCTGTTTACCCTTTTATACCCTTCCGCTTAACTTCCCTTTTTCTTGTAGGTTTGAAATTCATTAGCGAGTTGAGGGTGCTGTGTGTGGAATATCCTCAGACCATAGATGTCATGATCCAGCAGTTTACTGACTTTCCCATGTATGGTTATAGATACTCCCCCAGCCCCAGCTATTCCTCTGGGCTTGCTCCACCTCCCAGGGAAGGAGAAGTCACAATTTCTGTACCTGTAAGTGTTTCCCAAGAAGGAGCATTCCCTGCTCGTTAGATCATTGATGTACCTTTGAGTGTTGCTGGAAATGCTGAGAGTCTGGTGTCTGGAGGATGGATGTAACCATCTCCTAGCAAAATGTTTCTTGTCCATGCCCATGTGTCCTGGGATATAAAGACCACTGTTGGCATGGTAGAAATGGTTGTAGGACTTTGGCAGAAGGGTCTGTATAGACCAGGGAGAGGGATGGCTTCTGTCCTGTTTCCTGAGACCTCGTGCCTTCTTCTGCCTGTTGTGTATGTCACCTCTTTGAGGTGGGGTGTCCAACCAGAGTTGTCTGAGATAGTCAATCCTAAGACTTTATGGTGTTTATTAATTCTTAATATTATTGTGCTGATGCTGACAGAAGGCTCTATTCTTTACTCTTCTGCTAAGCCAATAGATTTACCACAGGCAGGAAAGATGAGCTGATTCCTGTTAAGAATATGTTCTGCGGCTAACATGTGACCCTAGCTCCACAGGGCAGTTTGCTGCTGTCTAATGTACAGGGCCTGTGTCCTACCCTATAGGGAATAGGAATGGGGATGTTACCAGAACCCCTGCAGTGGGTCCTGATCTCCTGTGAGCCACTACAAATACAAAGCTGATAAGAATAAAGATGAAATGATACTTAGAGAAGAAGCTGGATTTTGGGCCTGATAAGCAAAGACAAAGACACCCTAAGCTTGCCACTAGTGGGTTCATAGGGAGTATCAGATGTCTCGGAGGGCAGCAGTAATCTTAAATTGACAAGGATCTTATAATTGAAGGGAGCATCAGATTCTGGGAGGACGGGGTAATCCTGTGTTGATGAGGATCTTACATGAGGAGTTTAAGTTGATTAGGAGAGTAAGATGAACAAAACATTATTACAACAGTAGGTGGGATGAGTTAAACTTAGAGAGAATTTGTCCCTCTCAAGTGAAACCTGTTTTTGTTTTGTTTTGTTTTGTTTTGTTTGAGACAGGGTCTCACTATGTAGTTGAGATTGACCTGGAACTCACTATGTAGCCCAGGCTGGTCTTGAACTCACAGCAATCTTCCTGCCTGAGCTTCCCGAGTGCTGGGAACAGGTGTGCGCCACCACGCCTGGCTTCTTTTTCTTTTTGTATTACTTCTCCATTCTCAAAGAACCAGGATATCTTCAACTGATATAATCTTGCTTTTGAGCATCATAACATCATGGCACTATTGAGGCCTCAGGCAGCCCTAATTATTACGTTTTCCCCAATAATTATGTAGATGACTCTCACCATCACTCTTTTACTTCATTGTGAGAAATAGGAACCCTGAATTATCTGGAGCTTGGAAGCCCTCTGAATTCTTTGTACCACAGCCCCAGGCAGGAAGATAAAACTGATCCAAGTTCATAGTTACCCAGAGTTGGGTTTAGAAAAAATCCTTAGTAGTTCTTGTTTGTTTTATGGTACTGAAGATTAAATCTGCCACTGAGATACAGTTTCAGACTCTTATTTTTTATGTTATTTGAGCCGGGGTTTCTTTATGTTTTATTTTTTATTTTGAGACAGGTTCTCATTGTTGCCCAAACTGGCCTTGAACCTGTGATCCTTCTGCCTTAGCTTCCAAGTAGCTGGGATTACAGGCATGTGCCATACTACACGTGGCTTATGTTAACTTTGACAAAGAGGATTAGTGTCTGTTAGCAGCTCATTCTGTTTTTTTTCTAAGTGTAGAGGTTTATGATTTAAGCTGGAAGATGTTGAGGTGGGCTGCAGCAGGATCTGCTTTCCTGCCTGGGCCACATTGCACTGTAGAGTCTGTGTGCTGTAGCTTGGGACCTCAGATCTTTGTAAGGTTTTCAACTTAAGAGAGGAACACTAGGACTTGAGGTTGGACAATACATCCTAGCAAGGAGCATGTCGCAGAATGCTACTGAGGTCACTTTCATCATGCAGCACAGTCACAGCTGTGCCCACCCAGCCTGGCCTGTGGCAGTGGCTGTGAATGTTTTGGGACCCTTGAGCAACATTTTTCTCTGGTGAAAATGCAGACCTCTAGTCCTTGGCCTGTTGCTGCATGTCCCTGCACTATTGCATGTTCATTCATTGTCACAAGTTCCCACTCCTACATTCCTGCTAGGGCATATGGAGAGCTGGTGTGCTTGTTTTCCCCTCCCCTTTCATTTTTCTCTTTTTGAGAGCCAGGCATTAAAACACTAGTCTTATTCAAAAGCAGCTGTATCTGTGGGGAGAAAGAAAGTGTGTGGGGCCAGGGATGTAGTTCAGTGGCACCTCTCCAAGTACAAGGTCCTGAGTTTGATTGATCCCTGTTACCAAAAAAGAAAGTGTGTGCTCAGGAAAAGTATAGGCTAAGAACAGAAATGAGAAGCCCTGAAGTTTTTTCCTCAGGCTAATACTTGGCACAGAGACATCCCATAACCATCACAGAGCCAAAGCAGTGCAACCACAACAACAAAGAGCAGCCCTGAGGAAGGGATGGCACTACTACTTCAGTAAATTCAGAGGTCTCCGTGCCAGTAAAAACCTTAAGGGCTGGGATTTAGCTTAATGCGTCCACTGTCTGCCTTGCTGCCTTTTGAACGCAAGGACCTGAGTTTGATTCCCCAGTACCAAACAAACAAAACAAAACAAAAAACACCTCCAAACATGCAAAAATCCTAGGGAAGTTTGGCCCCTTTTAAGGGAAAAATAAATCCAGAAAACCATTTCTGAGAAATGTCTGCTATCAGATAAGTTAGGCAGAGACTTTAAAACAACTATCTTATAGGTGCTCAAAGAACTAAAGGAAGACATAGAGAAAGTTAAGAAAATGATATGTGTGAATAAAATGGAAGTTTTAATAAAGAGATAGAAAACCTTTACAAAGGAACCAAAAATTCTGGCACTAAAAAAATATAACAACTGAAATTGAAAAAACTCCTAGAGGGATTAAAGGCAGATTTGAGCAGGCAGAGTTGAGAATCAGGAGGGAAAAAGACCAGGAGTATCGATCAGAGGCTTAGAACCTGTGGGACACCATCAAGTGGATCAGCAGACACTGTAGAATGCCCATGAATGGAGTGTGTATAGTGGGAATATTTGAAGAAATAATGACTGAACCCTTTGAAGTATGATGAAAGACATGAATATAAAATATAAGGTAAATGAACTCAGACCACTGAGATACAAGGTAATCAGACTTTTGAAGCACAGAATCTTTAGGGTACCAGGAGGGAGATGACTTACTCTTTCAAGAGGTTCTCAGGTAAGGCTATAGCAGGTGGCTTTTAAAGACACTTTGGAGGGTGGGTGGCAGTGGGCTGATAGAGCAAAATGTTAAAAGAGAAAAAGGCAGTCAATCCAAAATTGTATGCCTGGAAAAACAGCCCTTCAAAAGTGAGGGGAAAATTCTAGTATTCTCAGGTTATCATAAGCTGAGGGAGTTTGTTATCACTGGACCTACCTGAAAGAAATGCTTAAAGGAGTCCCGCTTGATGAGAGGAACTCAAAGCTGTGTAATAAGGGAAAGATCTCAATAAACACATGGGCAGTTGTAGATAATGTGGGCCATTGTAAAAGCTGGTGTTACTGTAACAATGATTTATAGTTTCATTTTTGTTTTCTATAAGATTTAAGATTAATGCATTATAAAAAGTTATCAGTCTTACTGAAATTTTGACTTGTAATGTCACATTTTTTGTACATAATGTAAAAAATTAATGTGCATAAAAGCATCAAGAGCCAGATGTGGTGGCACACTCCTATAATCCCAGCACTCAGGAGGCTGAGTGAGGCAAGAGGATCCTCATGAGTTGAAGGCAAGCCTGGACTACATAATGAGGTCTGTCTCCCCAAAAAAGGAATTAATTAATTTTTGCTTTGGACAGACATTATATATATAGGTGTAATGTGACAACAACCAAAAGGGGTGAGAACAGAGCTGCAAAAAAGCAGAGTTTCTGTATGCTCATTGATGCTACAGTGTTAGAACTTTGGGTGTTAGATATAATTCCCATAGTAACAATAAAGAAAATACAGGGAGATAGAAAGAAAATGGGGAATTGAAACATTTCTGTATTCGAGTCCTCCCTTCCAAGATGATGAAAAAAAGAAGGAACAATGTTGTGCCAGAAAGGGCCACAGTCATGTGTAGCCTATTCGCTGCATGAACTGTGCCTGGTGTGTTCCCAAGGATAAGGCCATTAAGAAGTTGATCATTCAAAACATAGTAGAGGCTGCCATTGTCAGGGACATTTCCAAAGTAAGTATCTTTGACTCTTACGTATTTTCCAAGCTCTGTGTGAAGCTGCATTACTGTGTGAGTTGTGCCATTCACAGCAAGGTGGTCAGGAATCAATCTGGTGAAGCCCGGAAGGATTGAACACTTCCACCTGATTTAGACCTGCTGGTGCTGCCCCACAACCCCCACCAAAGCCCATGTAAGGACCTGTTTTTTGTTTTGTTTTGTTTTGTTTTGTTTTTGGTGGTGGTGGGGTACCGGGGATTGAACTCAGGTCCTTGCGCTTTGCAAGGCAGGTGGTGGAACCACTGAGCTAAATCCCCAGCTCTAGGACCTGGGTTTTAATGGACCAAAGAAAAGCCATCTCCGGGCAGAGGGAACAAACTAATAAAATGGATGTTATACTTTAAATTTTTTTTCTTTATTAAAAATCAACTAAATGCAAAAGACAGAAATAAGAAATCCCAAAAAGCTGTAAGTCTTATAGAAAACACAGAAAATTCAGAAGTCCCTCTTTATTAATAGTTACTTTAGGTGTAAATAAGAATCAAAATGTGTAATCCCCCCAACCCCCGTACTAGAGATAGAACTCTGGTCCTTGTGCTTGCAAGGCAAGAGGTACAAAATGTATACTTGATATTATGTAATAGGAAAAAATGTCTAAAGGTATAGGGGAAGTGGAAGGCGTAGGAGAAAGGTAAGAAGGGAAAGGAAAAAATAAGAGAAAAGGAAAAAAATGGAAACAGCATCTGTAAATAGGGAAGGGTGGAGGGGGTGAAGGGAGGGCAGGGGAATGGGGAAAAAATGAAAACCAAGACCTGTCATGTAAAGGTACAAGATCCCAGTGATGAATGTAACTGTAACTGTATTGTATATCTAAAATGTACCAATAAAGAAAAATGGAAAAAAAAATAGTTACTTTAAACACAAACAGATTAAACATAATCAAAAGACAAAGATTGGCAAAGTGCAAAAGCTCATGATGCTGTTATATATTATGTACAAGAGAATTACGTTAATCTAAAGACACCAGGAGATTGAAAGCGGAAAGATGAAAAAAAAAATATTTCAGGCCGGGGATTTAGCTCAGTGGTTCCGCTGCCTGCCTTGCAAGCCCAAGGACCTGAGTTTGATCCCCGTTCCAAAAAAAAAGGAAAAAATATTTCAGGTAAACAGTAACCAATAGCTTAGGGTTACTGTGCTATTATCAGGCAACATAGATATTAATAAAAAAGATTATAAGAGACAAAGACACTATATATTAGTAAAAGTTCTAATTTGGCAAGAAAGTATAACAGTTAACAATATTTATGGGGTCGGGGATTTAGCTCAGTGGTTCCGCTGCCTGCCTCACAAGCGCAAGGTCCTGAGTTTGATCCCTGATACTCCCCCCCACCCAAAAAATTTACATATCTAATGACAGACCAATGAAATATATGAAGCAAACAAAACCTGACAGAACTGGAGAAATAATAGATTTATAGACATGTACGAAGCCCTCTGCCAACAGCCGCAGCACACACAGTCCCCTCAAGGGCACTTGGGGCTTCTTCTAGAGGGAGCATGTGTTAGGCCACAAACTAAATTTCAACAGATTTATTAAGATAGAGATTCAAAACTTACTAGAAGGAGTCACAACAGTGTGGTACTTACATAATGATAGACAGAGACCAGTGGAATAGATTAGGGAGCTTGCTGGAATAGAAAAAACCAGTACATAAATGGTAGGTTAATTTTTGACAAGGTTGCTGAGCTCACTCAGTGGAGGAAGGGCAGCTTTTCAGCAGGTGATGCTGGGAAAACTGGATGGTCATATGCAAAAGGGTGAAGTAGGATTCCTACTTTACACTAAATGAAAAATTAACTCGGGAGGGATTGGAGTCCTCAACGTGAGGCATAGAACTGTAAAAACTCTTAGGAGAAAACAGACGGAAAAAACTTTTCAGCATTGGATCTGGTAGTGCTTTATTGGGTATGACACCAAAAGCACAAACAGCAAAAGAAAAAGTTGGCAAATTGGACCTTGTGAAGTTTCATACACGACCAACTGACAGACTGGGACAGAGTATTTGGAAGTCTATCCAGAATAAAGTGCTACAGTCCAATAACAGCAACAAAACAACTTGATTAAATGGGCAAAACATTTTTGTCTTGATAGATACTTGTTTGCAGATTAGGTACAAATGGTCCCTAAACAGATGAGGATATCTTCAACATGACTAATCAGTCACAGGAGATGTGCAAATCAAAACTATAGCGAGGGCTGGGAATTTAGCTCAGTGGTTCTGCTGCCTTCCTCAAAAGTGAGTTCAATCCCCACTACCCCCCCCAAAAAAAACTATAGTGAGATTCTACCTTATACCCATTAGGGTAGCTCCTACCAAAAACAAAACAAAACACCAAAAACAAAAAAATAAAACAAAACCTTACAAAATACTGTGTTGGCAAGGATATAGAGAAACTAGAACCCTTGTGCACTGCTTCTGGGAATTTAAAATGACATAGCCAGTTGGAGAACAGTGTAGTGGTTCTTCAAAAAAGTAAATGCAGAATTACCAAGTGATTTAGCAGTTCTGCTCTGAGAGTATACACCAAATAATTGAAAGTGGGATTTCAGAAAGAGCTAGCCTTTACCTTCATAGCAGTGGCGTCACAGTAGCCCGAAGGTGGAAGCCCCATGGTGTCCACTGACGGATGAATGAGAGCAGAATGTGATTTATTGTTCAGCTTTACCATTACAGTGGTGAAGAGCCTTGAGGACGTTGTGCTGAATGACATGTCAGTGACCACCCAAGTGTACAGTTCCGCACATATGACGTCCCTAGAATGGTGGAAATTGTAAAGACAGAAAGTAGAAGGTGGTTTACTAGCCACTAAGGGAGCCAGGAAGGGGAAGTTAGTGTTCACGGGAACAGTTTCAGTTTGAAATGACATAGTTACGGAGATGAATAGGGTGAATGCATACTTAATGCATAAGATGGTGCCTTTTATGTGTATGTGTTTTTCCACCACCACCACAAACAAGGGAGAGAAGAACGTCCAAGATCAGTTTGTATTTCCACTCCTAAGAGGCAGGTGTGGATGACAGCTGGGCTGCAGGGGAACCCTGAGGGCATCTCTTCCCAGCACCTCTTGGCATCTCCAGACCACTCTGAGGGAGGAGGCTGTCTTCCTTGGCTTGTGCCCATGGGTGATGGGCTGCCTCTGTGGCCGGGTAGAGTCCATGGGGCCTATGGTCTCCATGGGCTTGTTGGACAGAGAGGCAGAAGGGAGGCAAAAAATAGTTCATCGTGATAAGGCACAGCATGGGTTCTGCTCCCAGCTAGGCCTTTTTTTCCTGTAGCCTGAGAGAAGAAATAACTTTAGGTCTGCAGAAGCAGCTGTGGTTGTGGAAAATCTGTCTCTAGACATTGCAGTTGTTTCCACACTGACCTGTAGCCCGGTCTATTCTGTGCTGTATTAACATGTGTTTCCCGTGTGTTAGCCTGTTAAGGACCATCAGAATGTCCCTGTGCTTGGCTCCAGCATACTCCCTGACATTGTTCCTAGGTGTGTTTGTCTCCCTTGCCCTCACTCTACTGGCCATTGCAGGAGTCTGCAGATTGTTTCTGGGAACAGCACATGGTGCATACCTTCAGTTCTTCAGGCTATAGAGATCTCCATGTCAGAGGAGCCCGAGGGTAGCCACTGACTGTACAGGATGAGCATGGTTGTGTGCCTGCAAGGCTATGAAACAAACAGCATGCCCTGGACCTTTCATTGTTTATTGTGGATTACTATAAACATTCATTGTGAAGGTGTACATGGTTATCCTTTAGCATCCATGAGGGATTTGGTGCTGGAAGCACCTGCCCTCCCTGTGGATACCCACATCCATGGGTTTTTCAAGTCCCTTGTATAATGTGTCACAGTGTTTTGTTGAGCCATGAACAATCTCACATAGCCTGTAAATCATATATCACTTGTAGCACTTAGTACAATGAACACTACCTAGAATTGTTGTGCTGTGTTGTTTAGGAAATGACAAGAAAAGTTTGTATACATTCTGGGTGCAGAGTTTTTCCAAATACTTGCTTTGTTCTGCTCCCACCCCCACCACCCAGTACCAAGGATTGAATTTAGAACCTTGCTTGCCAGGCAGTCACAGCACCACTGAGCTAAATCCCTGGCCCTCTTCTCTATTTTTATTCTTGGGTAGCACTAGGGATTGAACCTAGGGCTTTGCACATCCTTGGCATGTGCTCGACCACTGAGCTACATTTCTCAGCACTCAAATATTTCAGTCTGTGGCTGGTTGAATCTGTGGTTATAGAGCCCATGAATATGGAGGCCTGCCTATCCTTTTCTTTTTTTTGGTACTGGGGATTGAACTTGGAACCTTGTGCTTGTGAGGCAGGCAGCTGAACCACTGAGCTAAATCCCTGGCCCCTGACTATACATTTTTGAAGTACACTGGCCAGGTTAAAGGCTTTGCACATTTGTTTTTTGTTTTTTGTTTTTGGTACTGGGGATCGAACTCAGATCGAACTGCACTTGTGAGGCAGGCAACACCGCGCTAAACCACTGAGCTAAATTCCCAGCCCTCTGACTATACATTTTTAAAGCTGAGAGACTTAAAAGTTATTGGTTAGCACCTTGCCCCTCATGTTCCACAACACAAAAACAAATCAAAATGTTAAATTGATGTCAATGAATGCAGTGTTTTGGGGCAACCAGGGATGCCTGTTGCTTAGGGCACATGTACTGTGGGCCTGTCAAATGTCCAGCATGTGTACTTCTCTTGAGGATCTGTGTGTGCCTGCAGTGCCTACCCCAGGGATTTACTGTGGGGTATGTGGGGCCGCTGTCTGCTTGGTCCCATTCTGTCCCTGGCCCCAACAGCCAAGGACTGTCTGTGGCTCATGCTTTGGTTGAACCATACCTGAGTGTTCTTCCAACTTTCTATATTATAGGACTAACTAAAACATCATGCTTTCCTTCTTTAGTAGATTATTATGCGATAAAGTAATGGTTTTGGATTTTTTTAAAACCTGGAATTAAAAAAAAAAAAAAACTGCTCAAAATCTCATTACATAAAAACCCTTCAGCCAAATGTGGTGGCACATACCTATAATCACAGTGTTCAGAATTTGAGGCCAGCCTGGGCTACGGGCTACACAGTTTGGTCAGCTTGTACTACAAAGTGAGACCCTGTCTCAAAAAAAAACGGCCCTTCAAGCTGCTTTGTCCCTGAGGTGTCTGGAGTCCCTAACTCCACTTGATTTGCTCATGTTGAAAACCATTGCCTGAACCCCAGAATTGCATGTTCATAGTGAGCTGGAAAGCATGCCAGGGACCTTCTTTCTCCCTAGGTCTTGGGTTGTTGGGTAAAGGGTGTATTGGACCACAGAGTTGTAAAGATGGTTATGTGTTGAGGTTGGGATACCTGTTCCTCACTGTAGAGATAGAGCCCAGTGTCTTAGGATGACCAACCTGGCCTGGCTGCTGGACCAGTGAGGCATTGTGAGGTTGGTCTGTTCCTTCTCAGCCCTGTGGTCTTTCTGCAGCACACAGTGTTGGGCATTTGTTAGGGTGAGAGGACTTCTCAAGGACAGTTTCTTGTACTCAAGGCAAGGAGACTGGGTGTGGGGGTATCTCAAGGCCTTTTTCTAATGGTTTGGGGTTTTGCTGCCTGTTGTGACATTTGCTCAGCTTGTTATTTTGGAGGAAGCGTGATCTTGGAGGTGTTTTTCCTTCCTGTGCAGTTAATAAGTATGAGATGCCTGCCAACTTTGTGCTGATACCTACCAGAGTGCATCTGGTAGGGTGGAGTTGACTGATAGTTTTAGTAAACAAATTCTGTGGACTGTTTTGTACCTCTGAAAACAGTTGAATGGTATTTCTTTTCCTCTCTGTCCCCTTCTTTTGGATTTTTTTTTTTTTTTTTTTTTTTTTTTTTTTAGCTTGCTTGCCTTTTGTTTTAGCAGCTGCAGTATCTCGGAAGAAAAAACGAAGAATGGGAACCTATAGCCTGGTTCCTAAGAAAAAGACCAAAGTATTAAAGCAGAGGACGGTGATTGAGATGTTTAAGAGTTTAACTCATTCCACTGTGGGCTCCAAGGTAAGAGCAATGTGTGAGTTGTTTGCCACATTTGTTTGTTGTGTATGTCTATTGTCTTGGGCCATTTTGGCCAAAGAGCATCCTGTGCGATCATCAGTAATTTGATGATCTCGATCCTTATGGAGGAATCAGAGCTCTAGCTTCCTCTTCTGTGGGGCATGGCCTGTGTCCAGGTGGCGTTTGGAGACCCCATACTTTCTTGACCCCACTCTAGTGTCTGCTGGGCTATGCTCAGGTGCTGGGTACTGCTTGGTGTATCTCTGGCCCCAGCAGGCTCTTACATCTCTCCAACATCTGAGGCTCACAGAAAAAGGTGATGTGCAGAGGTTCTCAAGAGCTGTGTGCCTGCTGTGTTCCAGGGTGAGAAGGCCTTGGGTGACAGCACTCTGCACATGAATGGGGAGAGTCTGGAGATGGAATCAGACGAGGACGACTCAGATGAGCTTGAGGAGGATGAGGACCATGGAGCTGAGCAGGCTGCTGTGTTTCCCACGGAGGACAGCAGAACCTCTAAAGAGAGCATGTCTGAGACCGACCGTGCCCCAAAGGTAGGACCACAAAGTACCGCCCCCTTTACTTTGTGAATTTTTATATTTTATTTCTCTGGAGTTACTAATTTTCTTGCACTTCAGGAATGTTTGTCCTCCTTGTAGCATCATTGATGTAAGCCTTATGAGCTCTTAGGCACCAGGTTGACAGATATAAGAATATTAATAACCCAAAGTATTAGCTGAGCATGATGGTGTACACCTGTAATCCCAGCATTCTGGGAGACTAAGGCAGGATGATTGCAGGATGATTGTTGTTATGTTGCCTATCCTGGGCAACTTAATGACATAGTAAGACCCTGTCTTGAAATAAAAGGTAAAATTAGGTCCTAGTGGTGTAGCTCAGTGCAAAGGCGCTGGGTTCAGTCTCCAGTACTGCCCCAAACCAAACAAACCCAAAGATTTAACTAATGCCCTATGTGCTCCTGTTATGGATGCTTGTGTTTGGCTATGTGTGCCTCGTTGTATGTATCCTGGACCTGGTTCATGGAGAAGTTGTTGTACCGGTGAAGGTCAAAGCATCTGCCTCTCCTTGCAGATGTGTGTCCAGGGCTCTTTTTGTGGCCTGTGGTGTGGTTGTGCAGTTCTGCGGACTCTGGGTGTGTCCCTAGGGGCCAGGCACTCTCTCTCTGTATGGACAGCTCTCTCCTGTGTCCGAGGCGAGCCTTCCCTTGTCTCAACTGCCTCATCCCTGAAAGGCCTGGAGCCCCCAGCAGGTGCCTGGGCTTCTCAGGTACTTCTGCCACCTAAGCACTGGCCCCATTGTCTCAAGGAAATGTAGAATATTCTCAGAAATAATTTTCTGAATGGGCTTTAAAGTTTAAGCATAAATTTAGACATTTTCTGAGAGGGATAAATGACAAAATGTCAGTGTTTGACAGGGAAGAACAATGGGAGGCTAAGGATCATGCTAACATTTGTGGTTTACTATCCAAATATGTCAGACATTTTTGAGAAAACTTTGAACCATCTTTATGTGAGTTAGTCTAAACTGTTAGAGAAGTTCCTGGGATAGATGTATAATCCTATTGCTTAACTTTTTGTACTTTCAGTGGGGTTTGTTCTATGTGGGTACCTCCTTTTACAGGCTTTTGAGCAAACTTTAAAATGTTAGCTGGGCGTGGTGGCACATGTTTGTAATCTTAGCACTTGGGAGCCTGAGGCAGGAGGATCACCAGAAATTTGAGGCCAGCCTAAGCTATATATATATAAAACAAGACCCTGTCTCAAAAAAATAAAGAAGGAAAATGTTAGCCCTAGCTCTTAAGTTAATTATTGAAAAGTAAATTTGATGGAAAATGTTAACATTAGATATTTTTTAAAGTTTATTAATTTAAAAGTAATTGTTAGTTTTCTTTTTATATAGCAAATGTAAGACAAAAACAAATAGCATTATAATGCCATTGTCCAGGTAGCCTTCAGTATATTTGGTAAACTTCTTGCACATCCTCTCTTCCCAGGAAGGGTGGCTGTCTGGAGACCTCTTTGCCCCATACCTTATTTCAGAGACAAGGAGGAAACTATTCCAGAGTGGCATCTGTCCCCTTTCCCCCTATTTCTCAACACAAATCATCATTTCTACAGCTGCATTTATTCTGTTCTTTGACTTTCTTTTGTTACAGGCAATGGTTCTGAGGCATTTCAGAGCAGACCTGTTGAATATACTCATGGGTAATAAATGTTATCAGCATTTTTTGTCATTGAGAGAGCATCTTGTTAAGTAGTCCAAGTCTGGCTTTGTACCTTAGCCTTTGTACTTTGGCTCATGATCTTCTCGCCTCAGCTTCCTAAGTGCTACAGACAGGGTTCCAGGAGCGTTGTGAGCGTAGAGCTGGTCTGTTGGCCTTGATGTTCCCTGTGTGCTGATCTTTGGCTTGGTCTATGATATCAGAACTCAAAGGCACTGTCTATTCTAACTTCAGAGTTCTGTGTTCTAATTATAATGAACCCACCTCTCTCACTGCCCAGCCTTCATAAACTGGCACAAGTTATCTTCTATACTTTTTTGGTTCTGGGGATCAAACTCAAGACCTTGCACTTGCCAGGCAGGCACTGTGCTGCTGAACTACATCCCTGGCCCTTATAATTCTGTGATTTCCTTCTTTTATATAAACATTTGATTCGTGTAGAATTCATTTCTTGATAAAAGGTGAGTCAGACGTTCTCAAAGTGGATGACTTTTATGGTATACAAATTGTGTCTCAGAGCTTTCAAGATAGAATGCGAGGTTAGAGTGTGGCTCAATGGCTGGGTCAGTTCCCACTCTACCTCTTGCCTGACATTTCTTCCTCGGCTGATTTAAGATGTCAGCCAAATACTGTACCAAATGGCATGTGAATTTGCATGTTTCTGGATTTTGTTTTTGAAATTCACATCTTCCAGAGAAGATACAGACATCGAGCAACGATAACTGAGTATTGATACAAAATAAAAAATAACTTTGAAGCTTACCAAAGAACCAAGAAACAGAAGCTGGACCAATCTGAGGCTAAGTTGTGGGCTAAGATCCTACATATAAAAGTCCTATATGAAATAGGAGTCGGGTGCAACTATGTACTAAAGTAATAATGGGGCCGGGGATTTAACTCAGTGGTTCTGCCACCTGCCTCGCAAGTGCAAGAGCCCAAGTTTGATCCCCAGTACCAAAAACAAAACAACAACTAAAATAATAATGACTTGCCAGGCCTGGTGGCATACACCTGTGAATCTGAGCACTCATAGCGCTCAGGAGGCTGAGGCTGGAGGCTCACTGTGAGTTCAGGCCAGCCTGGGCTACATAGTGAGGTCCTGTCTCAGTCCCTCTCCCCGATGTCTTTAAGGCAGTAGGTAGGGCCTACTCCAGTAAGAGACTGATTCATTACTAGAAATCTGTTAATAAGATTTACTGAATTAGAGTAAATGAGAAAGCCCATGAGACATGTATATGTTTACAAGGCGCTGTAAGCTAGGTGTGGTGGTGTGCGCCTGTGGTCTGATTGCGTATGAGGCCAAGGCAGCAGGCTCACAAGCCCAGCCAGGATCAAGGGCAGCCAGGGTCACAGCCAGGGCAGCATATAGCAAGATCCCATCTTTAAGCAAGCAAGCAACAAAGTGCATTTTATAATGTTCACCTTTATGTTCTTTAAACTGGGGGGATTATTTTACAGTTACACATAACAACGAATGCACAGCTGGGCAATGATTAAAGAACAGCATCCCTGTGTGAGTTGCCTGGGTCAACGCCTTGAGTTTCACGTGTACTCCTGAAGCCTCCCGCCTCCCAAAATTGACTGTCACCTGTGTGCTAGCACTGTAGAATTGTTTGGTTCAGTTTGGTTTGGTTTCAGTATGTTTGGGGTTTTTATATTATTTGTTAATCTTCAATGTTGTAGATAACATGGACTGGGTGTAGGTTTCTAGGTCACCAGGGTCCGAACTTACCATAGCAATGCTGAGATGTTGTCTGTCCCCTGATCTCCTTTGTGAGGACTGTGTCCTCATGGTTTGAGTATTCTCAGACTAAATTTCTACAATGAATATTTTCAGTATAACCCATATTAACCAAAACTGTTAGTGGTTTTCAATAATTTTTCAGAGAGTACAGTGTCCTGAGACCAGAATGTCTGAGAACCACCGAGATACAGTATTCCTCAGTTACTCTATTCTGGCACATGTATTTATCCCATTTAGGTACTTTGTTTCGCTCCCTCCCTTCTTCCCTCCCTTCTTTTTGGTACCTGGGATTGAACTTGGGACCTCACGTTTGCAAGGCAGGTGGCAGCACTACTGAGCTAAATCCCCAGCTCTATTTGGGGAGTTCTGTTGGTGCTATTCCCAGTGACAGTGGCATTAACAGTCCTGGCATGGCTGATTCCTTAGAGCACACAGGATGGGGTCTCTGTGCCTTTGTTAACCCATAGACACTGCCACACTGGTGTGCCAGTTGGTTGTGCCAGTTTATATTTCTACTTGCCATCTCTAAGCACTCTGTCTACTGTGCTGACCTGCCTAATTCAGCCCTACCCATCCACTGAGCATAGAGTATGGATTCTATGTTTTTAATTTGCACTTCCTTGAATTTCAAGAAAACTGAATATTTTTCAGTATGTCTGTACCATATGGATACCACGTTTGGTGAAGTGCCTGTTCACATCTCAGCCACTCATCTGTTGGGTTGTCTGTGTGTTTGGAAAACCATATTGTAGGTGTTCTTTGGTCTGGAAATGCTGGTTACCCTTATGTCTTCTTTCACTGGGACTTGGAAGATCATTGCAAAGACTGTGATGACTTAGGTGCAGCAGTCACTCTGGGTCCCTTGCCTTTCCCTGCATCTGTAGCTGGGCCTGGTGAATGGAGTTTTGTCCTGTGGGTTGAGGACTGGCAGAAATGGCTGGCAGTCAGGCAAGGTCAGGTTTGGATCTCCTGCCAGCATCTCCGGGACAGGTACAGTAGCAGAGCAGTGCGCGCGCCGGCTTGCCTTCTGCCTCTCTGCACAGGTTTCACCCACATCAGACTCCAAGTCCTTCCTACTCACTTGCTTGCTCCCTGTCAGCTGTTGTCCCTCCTCCTTCCGTTTCCGTGGTATCTCAGCTTGTGCCTTTTGTAGAGCTTCCAATTTGTACAAGCATCACACAACACTTTACAGAGTAACCCTCATTCCCTCCTTTATCATCCCTTTGCTGGAGTTTCAGAAGGAGATAGAGTTAAGTGATCTCAATGCTCAGTCTTGTTTTAAATAGAACACTGCCCAGTGAATTAAAAGAATGCTTATTATTAAGTAAAGCTTACTAAACTTGTCAGAATCTTACAAAAAAGGTTACATGTATTGGTGTCAAATTCAAAGTATTTCTGTTGTCAAGTATAAAATGAGGGTGAGATTGCTGCTTTCATTTCTTACACAAGCACAGCAGTGTTGACTGTTCAGTGTGATGCTGTAAAAGAAGAGTCAGAAACATTAATATTTAAAAGGACAGAAGAGAAGAGTTCACTGAGAATGTAATCATCCATCTGAAAATTCAGGAAAATCAGCCAAAAATTAATACAGCTACTTGAGCTGGATTTCATGAGATCAAGTTATGAAAACAAGTCATTTTCTCAGGTAGCTAACACTAATCTCTTAGAAAGTGTGATATCACCATCATTAATAAAATCAAATGCTCAGGGATAAAAAAATTTTCTAAGTAAAAAACATGGATGTCTAGATAATAGTGATTAGTAGTAAGCGATGCAGTGATTCTTAGTATCACCAGATAACACCATAATACATTTAACAAAAAAGGCATCCTCTTTCCAAGGGAAACAGTAGAACTTGGTTGAAAGAAGTTGAGAAAAGATACATGTTCAAGGAAGGACCTGTCTTTTGTCCAAACCAGAATATGCATTGTGTCCCCCACACATGCAGAAGTTTCCATCAAAATCCAGGTAGAACCTTCTGCAGGACCGCTGACTCTGCAGTCAGAAGGCTGTTGAGACCCTGACTCCTCGTCAGGTAAGAAGACAGCAGGAGATAGCCTCATCCCTCCAGGGCAGACCTGTATATGTAAAAGAGACAGGTTTTGTTTGTTTATTTGTTTTTGTGAGAGTAGGGTTTTAGATTAGTGTCGAGGTGTCATGAACTTTTTAATTAATGTTACTATAACTATTGACTTGATTTTGCACTAGAAAATAGGGGCCAATGCTTGCATCTTAGTGTATAATGTATGTAAACTCCATTCAAGAGTCAGGTAGTGGGGATGGTTGCATAACTCTGAATATGGTAAAAGCTACTGAATTGTACACTTTAAAGGGTCAGGTATAGGATGTGGTGGTGCAAGTCTGTAATCTCTGTACTTGGGAGGCTGAGGCAGGAGGATCGCTGTGAGTTCGAGACCGGCCTGGGCTACATAGTGAGTTCCAGTCAGTCTCAACTACATAGTGAGACCCTGTCTCAAAAATCCTAAAGAAAGAAAGAAAGGTATAGAGGTATAGAGTAGGTAAATATATCTTCCTATGGCTGTTATTTTAGAAAGAATTCCAGAGGACTTAGTGTCCACACAGAATAACCAAACTGTGGAAGAAAGTGTTGGAAACTCTTTTTCTGACCATTATTGAGAAAGAAAGGCCTTTTAAGGCAAGAAGCAGACTAAAGGTCTTAGGTAAGAAAATCAGAACCAGAAACTGTCTTAACCTGGCACCCAAAGTTAAAGGAGGAAGGGTTTATTTAGCTCACTGTTTGGGGGGTTTCAGTCCATAATTGGCTGGCTCCAAGGCAAGGTAGCATGGCAGAGGAGAAATGGTTCAGGTAGCAAAGCAAGCAAGGGACAAGACAAGCCTCTTTCTGTTCCTTATATTGTATCCAGGCTACCAGGGTTAGGTGGTGCCAAACCAGTCAGAAGACTGATTTAATAATCACCCACCCTTCACCTTAGCACCCTTACTCCTAGCGTTGCACCACAAATCAGTCACATACTCTAAATCCAGCCCCCTCTGCACAGACCCTAGCTATGACTGCATGAGGCTCTGGGGGGACACCTGCACACAAGCCACAACAGAAACAAAGTTCAAAAGTCTTGATAGGAAAAGTATTGATAAACATATTAAACAGCTAAAAAGTTTCTGTCTTCAGAGTGTAGCCTCTACAGTAAGAGAGCCAGACTGAGTTGAAAGTGATCTGAGGATGAGGTCATGCAAGATATAACAAAAGAAACAGAAGAGTTTTGGACATTTGAATAGCAGATACTCGGGTCCTTCTGTCTTTGGGAAAATGAGATCCAAGTAAGAGGAGACTTTGGAAGAGTAGGTTCCTCCATGGACATTTTTTGGGAGCTCCCCATTGGGGCCAGTGTGCCTTTTGACAGAGGAGTCACCCATCTGTCCTTGTGTGTGTGTTTGTCCTGAGGATGGTGGCTTATCCAAACCACAGTTCAGATGCGAGATTGCACAGGGATTTCTGGGAACAGTGGGACGACCTTGTGTGTACCCTACAGATCCAGGCCCACAATGTGTGTGTGTCGCCCACAATGTGTGTGTGTCACCCACAGAAGTTGAGCCGCTGTCTTCAGAAAGGCAGGCAAGGGCAGGATGGAAAGTATAAATGTTTTAGTGCCTTTGGCACTGAATGTCTGTGTGCATTGCTATTGTAGATAGAAAAGATATATATAGCAGAAAAAACAAGATGTCTTTTGATGTGGAGAGAATTCTAAAACATTTCTGTAATTAGAAGAGTAAATTCACAGAAATGTGTCTGTTGCTTTCACCCGTACAGACAGGGCAGCAGGTCCACTGTGGTGGCTGGGCTGGGGGTTGTAGTAGTGATATTTGTGTGGTGAACTGGGCTTTTTGGTGGGTGGACATAGATTGGGTGTTGCTTTGTGCCTTGTGTGAATGTTTTTGCTGTCTGTATTTTGTCACTTTTTACTAACACCTGTCACTCTTTGAACATGCTGTCCTTGTAACCTCCAGGGCCCAGGGGCCGAGTTTGAGTATACACAGAGGGCTCCCCTTCTTGTCATAGTCTGGAGACACTGCCAAGGAGCAGCCCTGTCTGGGATGGGGCGTCCTGATGGGGAGCAAGAGCAGAAAAGCAGGGTATGTGTGTCTCATGCTCTGCCTGGACACCCCATCCCATCCCACTCTGCCAGTGTTGGCCAGGGAGGACAGTAGAATGACAGTGTCCCATGCCGTCCAGCTCTGTCTCTAGCACATGCCACCAGTGTGGTTTAAACATTGTGTTGGATCTCTTCATCTACGCTAAAGGAGCTAACTAGCTAACTGGTTCTTCTTCTTCTTCTTTTTTGGTTTGGTTTCCCTGGCCATGTGGCTGCCCAGATGGACGGCGAGTCAGAGGAGGAGCAGGAGTCTGCCGATACTGGGGATGACGAGGACTGTGGAGACGAGTCTGACCTGGTAATCCTGGCATGGGTCTGGTCACAGCAGAGGGTCAGGCAAGCAGGGGCGATCCTGCCCTAGCTTCAGTAACAGGCCAGGCAGGCTTGACCCAGGGCTCCCTAACCTGAGGTTCTGAGGGAAGGGTTTGGTCCCACTTGGCTGGTTTCTCATGCATGGAGGGCGTGCAGATGGAGTGACTGCTGTGAGTGGACACGCAGGGTTTGAGGTGTTTTGAGGTGAAATGAATAGGACTTCCAGGTGAGCTGGCTACCACAGCGAGGGATGGCAGGGGCTAGGGTCCTCACTTGCCTCTGCAAGGTCTTTTGTGCTGGGCAGGAAGCTGAGGGACGGAGGTGGGGACTGAGTCTTAGAAACAGGAAGTATGACATGGCCCAGGTCAGGTTGAGGCCTCAGGAACCCCTTGTGTGAGTGTTAAGTGAGGAGGTGAGTGGCCTGTGAGTTCCAGAAGGGAGGCTGTGTGCAGTGGGAAGAAGGCCAGTGGCCAGGAACCACTCTGGACAGGGAAAAGGTAGCCCATGGTGCCAGGATGCCACCTGGTGAAGGACACCAGGGAAGACCAAGGACTTCTATGTTGCAAAGAATCCTTGTTTCTTAGGGTAGCAGAGGGAACAGGATCCAGGCAGTGGCAAGCTTTGTATACAGCAGCTATGGAAGTTCTTCCAGAAGTTCTGCCCCTCCCCAGAAGTTTCTGAGGAGTGTGGGTCAGTGCAGGCCTGTGTGCTGAAGATGGTTCCTCTGTGTGTGATGGGTATCCTGATACCCTTCTGCTCTGTCAGCTTACCTGTCGCTCTCCAGCACGGCCTAGGAGAGCATGCTGGGTGCCAGGGGTGATGCCCTTCCTGCATGTAGACTTTATGCAGATTCCTTGTAGTCTTGACTTTATTTGGGTATTTTTTTGTTGTTGTTTTTGTACTGGGGAATGAACTCTGGACCTTGAGCTTTCAAGGCAGGCGGCAGCACCACTGAGCTAAATCTCTGGTCCCCTTGTAGTATTGATTATAGCTTCTTCCCATGTTCTTCATGTAGAGAGGTGGTGTGGTGTGGATTCGATGGCACAGTTAGAGTTGATTACTTCTTTCCTTATAAGTGAGACAGATGGGTATATGTGATGAAAAGTGGATTCTCTTTCTGAGCTTATTCACTTAGTTCCTGAGTATAATTTTCAAATGTATTCTCTTTTTATGTCAAACACAAACAAAAAGTACAAATTCCAGGCCGGGGATTTAGCTCAGTGGTTCCACCACCTGCCTTGCAAGTGCAAAGACCCGAGTTGGATCCCCAGTACAAAAAACAAAACAAAACAAAAAAACCAAAAAAGTCAAATTCCACTCAATTTTGTTGGCTCTTTTACCTATAAAAGGACTGAACTTAAAGAGATGGTTAGGGAACAGCCTGGGTATCTTTAGAATGTGACCCAGAAAAATGTCTAAAAGTAAAGTGAATTTTTCAGAGGAAGAATCAAGATATAGCGAGTATTTTATTTTGCAGGCAAACAACTCCTAGTCCCTTTTGCTCTCAAGAGTGCCCCCTGCTTTGCTTCTGACGTACCTGCCCTTTGGTCCTCCAGAGTTCTGAATCCAGCACCAAGAAGAAATTTCTCAAGAGGAGAGGGAAGGCCGACAGTCCCTGGATCAAGCCAGCTCGGAAAAGGAGGCGGAGGAGTAGAAAAAAGCCAAGTGGTTCACTAGGTAAGTGCAGAGTGCCTTGGTCTGTGCCCTCAAGAGTGTCTCAGGGCTCGGAGACCAGCATAAGACTTAAGCGGGTCCATTATTAACAGATGTTTGAAATGACTGTTGGAAAAACTCCAGTGGCACTCTGGTGGTTTCCTTCTGATGAACGTAGTTGCTTCTGGCTGAGCATCTGTCCAGGGTGATGAGAAACCTGTGGCTGGTGGACATTCCTAGGCTACATGGAGGGACAAGGTCTGTGGCCACCTGGCTGTCTGCCATGGCTTGCGTGGCAGAGCCTCATCCACATGGTAGCTTTAGTCCTTGGGATGACATTTTCTGTTCTGGAAGTAATTTGTTAAGGTGAATGCAGGGAAGGAAATGACCCCTTAAATCAGAAGGGTTGTAAGGTTGGTGTGTCAAGGGTCATTTCTTTTACGGCTCCATTGAGGTGCATTTGGCATGGTTTATGAGTTAAGGTATGTGTAACCATATCACTGCCCCATACCACAACCTCTGCCTTCTGCAGCTGTCCCTTCCTGGCCCCAGGCAGCTCTGATCTGCTTCATTTCTATTGGTGGTTAGTGTTTTGCAGAGTTCTGTGTGAATGGACTCGTTCAACATGGACTCTTCCTCCTCTGGCTTCTTTGAGTTTTATTGTCCTGAGAGTCTTTGCATTTCTCTGTCGGACTGGTTCCTGTCCATTGCTGAGAAGTGTCCTATCGTGTGGTGCTCACCACTGGCTGTGGGAGGCTGTGGGCTTTCCTGCTTGGGCTGTCAGAGAGAAAGCTTCTGTGGATGTCTGTGTGTCCTCTTCCCTGGACAGCACTCACTATCTAGGAGTGGCAGGGCTGAGTCATGTGTTGTATACTTGATTCTTTGCTGCCAACCTGTTTCTCAAGGATAGGTCCTGCTTTCTATTTCCATGTAGCACTTGGAGGTCATTGCCCCTTTATCCTTGCCAGTGCTTGTTAGGTCTGTCCTCTTAAGTTCTTTTTTCATTTGTTTTTGTTTTTTTGAGACAAGGTCTCACTGTGTAGTTCAAGATGGCCTTGAACTCACTATATAGCCCAGAATGTCCTCACAGTGATCCTCCTACTCCAGCCTCCCAAATGTGAGGATTACAGGTGTGTGTCACCATACTTGGCCTCCCTCTGAAGCTCAGTGGGTTCAGTGACTGGTCAGTGATGTCTCTTGGAAATTTCATTTTGCTTGTGCTTGATGAATAATGAGGGCATGCTTTTTCTTAGCCTTTGTGTTTTTTCTTTTCTGAAGTGTGTTGTGTCTTCTTTTGCTCACTTCCATCGGGGGTTTGTCTTCTCATTAAATTGTAAGAGCTCTTTAAATATTCTGAATTCAAGTCTAATCAGATAGATGCTTACTTGTGTTTATATCTAGTCTGTGGCCAGTCTGTTTAGCTAATGGTGTGTTTAGGATAAAAGCAACAGTTAAAATTTTTTGTTGAAGTCTAATTTATGAATTGTTTTCTTTTATGGTTCATGCTTTTTGTGCTCTAAGAAATCTTTGACCAACCCAGGTTACCAATCTTCAGAAGTTTGTCACTCACAGCCTGTACGCACAGTTCTTGGTGCAGTTGGGGGCAGTGTTTGAGTGTGGCAGTGGCATAGACAGCTCCTTCCTGAGACAGGCAGTTAGTTGATTGGCACTACTGGTTAAGCAAACTTCTTTTCCTGTTGACAGTCAACAGTCAGGGTGTGGCCTATTGCTGTACTTTCTAGTGTGTTCCATTTACTTACCTTCATGCCACCACAGACCTCACCACTTTGCTCTTTTCCTTACTGCATTAGCTGTGCTTCTGCCCTCCTGGCACAGTGCCAGTATCAAATGGTGCATGGGAGATGGGACTCCTGGGTCTGTTGGGGTCAGCTCAGCTACTTCCCTGTGAAACTCTCCTGTCTTTTCAGTTATGTTTCCCTCTCTCTTCACCTTAGTTTATGCACTGTGATCAGAATACCAATGTGTTTTTGCTGTTTGGCTGGCAGAAACATTTGTTGATCTACAACTAAAAGTTGTTTTGAGAGTAGAGATTTCTTCTTTGTCATCTTGGCTGTTACTTGTCAAATGGAAGCCTGAATATTTACTCACATAGGAGTTTGAATTTTATTTCTGTATGTAAAAGTGCTTAAAATTATGTAAAGGCTTCTCATATTCTTTATGTGGTTGATGTTTCCTCAAAAGTGGTTGACTTTTCTCCTATGCGTCTAAGATCTAGGTAGAGAATACAGTATGAAATAAAACACTCAGGCACCATACCTCAGTATTAATGGTTCATTATTCCAAAATAGTCACCAAAGTAATATTAATGACCAATATTGAGATGCTTTGCTGTGAAGCAGTCATTTGCCCTTTGCTGATATTATTCATTATAAATGAATATTTTTCTTAGACTTCCTCCGTGAAACACCCTAGAACTTCAAATACCCATTTTTTTTTTTTTTTTATGTCCCTCTTGGGCCCTCCTGGGAAGTGTGGTCAGGCTGACTTACAATTACTGTCATCTCATGTCCCTAAGGATGAGGAGTGCACGCATGCACACCCGCGCGCCCTGCAGCCCTCCTCTGCAGTGCTTCTCCTTGGCATTTCAGGTTCTAGTGAATGATGTACTTCTTCGCAAGACACTGTGTCTGATGGGGTTCTCCCTCCCCCTGCTTATATATTAGTTTCTCATTTTTCTTTGACCATCCCCTACCCATGTGTATGAGGTCGTCATGGGGAATTAACAAAATGATGTCCAGGGGGAATACAATAGTGAAACTGGATGGCCTAAGTAATAGTTATTTCAGTTTGTGTTTTGAATGGGTTTGGTAGAAATAGCCCCTTTCTGGGGAGTTATCTCTGGTTGGATGTGGCTGTCCCAGGGTTCTCATGGTGTGTGTGCTGTGTGTAGGTTCTGAGACCTGTAAGTTGTCACCGGGAAGCACAGAGCAGATGGCTCCAGGAGACAGCTCTCAGTATATGGAAGTCTCTCTGGACTCACTGGATCTCCGTGTCAAAGGGATTTTGTCCTCCCAAGCGGAAGGTAAATATCAGTATTGGAGCTATAACTGTACCACCATCTTGTTCTTTGTTTGCTGACCTCATCCTCTGTATTAACCTGATGCCCCCTGGTGGATATTAATAGAAAATTTGATCAAATGCCTCAAGTAGAGGTAATGGAACAGATGTGACACAAAGTAGGTTTGCCACATCACTCACCATATGCACTCAGGATCAGATTGCTGATAGTTGTGTCTAAGGGTTGTCCCCACTGTGTGCCAGATACAGTTTGTGCAGAATCCCCGATGAAAGTGTGTCCCTGCCCCATTTTGGTCTCAGATCCTAGTAGACAATGTGAGTTTGAATCTGTGCCTTTGGGTAGCCCCTGGGTCTCCAGAAGTTTGTCTTTTCTTAGTGTTGAGCTCACAGTTCTCAGGGATATTCTGCAGTGGGATGAAACATTCACGCGGTCTTTGTGCCTTTCAGTCACAGGCGCACTAGTGGAAACTGTGGAGGCTTGCCCTCACTTCTCCCTCTCTTCTTTCCTTTTGTGTTACCTGACTTCTCTGTCAGTGAAAAGTAACTGATGGTTTTGGAAAACCTCTGTGAAGAGTAATGCAGGGGGACGTGTAAAATCCCATAGCTGTTTACGTCTGTGTTGACTTTGCAAGTGTAAAGTTGTATATTACTGTCGGCGTTTAATCTTTTATATGACAACAAATAACTACTTTCTTAGAGTTTTGAATACTTAGAGGGGAGTGATGCACCTGTTAATCTAGGCTTGTCTGTCAGCAAAATCCTTTCTTAATCCTTCTTGCACCAACTAGAACAGAAACTCTTCTTGAATATCATAAGGCCCTCATGATAGGTGCCCACTAAGTATAACTGTTTTAAGTTTTCCAAACTTCAGTGTGGAGGATTCAGGAGGCTGGATGGAGACTTGATTGTAAGTACAGTTCTCCCTTCAAACTGGCTTCTGTGCAGTGCAGTAGAAACCCTGCTTGCTGCTGAAGAGGGTTGGAAATGAAGTGTGTTGTTCCATACAAACATGTCTGTCCTGTCTCTGGTGCAAATAGGAACAAGGAGTGTTGAGTATTAACTGAAAAGGACCAAGAACAGCAAATGCAGGGGTCAGAGTGGTGAGAGCCAAGTTAGAGGGCTAGGAGGAAAAGGCTAGTTGCAGTAGCTTCCTTAGATCCCATGGCATTTTAAAAATTGACCTCTCAAAATGTACTTATCTGTGATAAATGAGCACTGATTGATGAGTAATTAGTCTGTTCTGTCATGCTTTTGATTTGGAGAACCAACATCTTGATGAAACAAACAACATTGTTCCCTTGTGCTCATGCTTAAAGTGTGGAGTTTGGGACCTGAATGTTAGAGCCAGAATTTGGACAGCAGAGGCCTTAGGAGTTGCTGAGTTTGGTCATTGAGGGCAAGTGACATTCTGGTAGTCATGGTTCAAAAGGCCAGGCTTGGAGCCAGGGATGTAGCTCAGTGGCACTGTGCCTGCGTTGCATGCACAAGGTCCTGAGTTTGATCCCTGGTACCGGGGGAAAAAGAAAAAGAAGAAGGCCAGACTTAAGCTGAGGGCAAGGAGAGTGTTTGTACTGAGGTTGGGACTCTCCACTGGTGGTAGCTTTCTTCTCATCGTCATTGTTCATAAGTATGCTGAGGTGAATTTGGTGATGTAATCCCAGCAGAAGATATGAGCTTGGGGAGGTCAGCAGCAGGGGCTGTGGCAGCATTGGGTGCAGGAGAGCCAGAGCTCAGAAGAGAGGTAGTGCACACAGGAGTCACATTAGTCATTTCTCCTGAAATCCTTTAGGTCCTTGCCGCTGGGGACTAAAGTACACCCCAGGCCACAGAGACACCCGTGCCCTGACAGGCTGCCCTGCTGAGTGGGCCCTGGGTTCTGTACACGTCACCTCAGCCTCTTCAGCCTGCATGGTTGGCACGTCAGAAGGGCGGTTAGCTGACAACTTCTTTGTGCAGGTGTGTGTGTGTGTGTGTGTGTGTGTTTCAGTTTTGAAACCAAGTTATTAGGCAGAATCTTCTCAGAGGCTCTTCTAGTTTTCAACTTGGAGGGATTCTAATTTGTCATATTTCCCATTCTTTTTTCGGTGGGGTAAATCCAGAGGGTAGGCTGGGAAGTCAGGCAGCTAAAGTTGGGTTGTCCTGAGCATCCTTCGCAGAGAGCCATGGCTCAGGTTTACTGACCCTAAGCAGGGACCCAGGCTGCCTCTGGCTACTTGCATGAGCAGTGAGGGATTCTTTGGGGGCTGAAGGCTGTCCTCTGGCTAGCATGGAACAGAGGACAGCACACTTCTTAAGGGTTTGAATGATGTATGAGTCAGGTTGCCCCAAGCCAGAAGTGGTTCAGGGCTCTGCTGAGGAAATGCGGAGGAAGGCTTGTACAGGGCAAACTTGGAAATAGGAGGTAAAATGTTTGCTTGGTTGGAGTTATTTGCTCTATTCTGCTAGCAAGTCCCTTGTTATATAAATCAGTTGGCTGCTTCTAATTGGTTGAACATAAGTTTCATTTTTCTATAAACAACCAGAAGAAATAGCCCAGTTTCATCAGTGTTTAGAAGCCAAGCAAGAGCTACATGGCTCCCTGGCTTGACTGGCATTGTCTACTGAAGGATCCTTTGGGCTCATTATTCATTTTAGTTTATTTTAACAGCGCATCTTTAAAAATTAATTAATTAATTAATTTATTTATTTATTTTGGTGTCGGGGATCGAATTGAGGTCCTGCAGTTATAAGGCAGGCAGTGGCACCACTGAGCTAAATCCCCAGCCCTGTGTATTTTTATTTTTAAAAATTATTTTTGGTTTTTGAGATGGGGTCTCACTTTGTAGTTCAGGCTGGCCCTGAACTTTTTTGTATAGCCCAAGCTGGCCTCCAACTCATGGTGATCCTTTTGCTTAAGCTTCTGAGCACTGGGATTACAGGCATGCACCACCATGCCCAGCTTTAACAGTGTATTTTTATTTTTATTGGTACTGGGGATCGAACTTGGGACCTTGTGCTTGCGAGGCAGGCTGCGGAACCACTGAGCTAAATCCGCAGCCCCAGCAGTGTTTTTTTAGATGTGAATAAAAGAGTTAATTGTTTTTAGTGAAGAGAGGTAATTGTGTCAGAAATACTGACTTACTTCGAATTCTGCTTTGGCTTTTCAAAGCCAAGTGAGAAAAATAAGGTGTCAACATGTAGTGAATGCTTTTTTGTGTGAGCAAATCAAGATTTTAGAGTTGCTGATCAGGTGTGGCTTCTCTCTGACTAATGGCTGGGGCCCTGAGGACTTGGATTAGCAGATATTTCTAGGGACTAGCAGGTGGCATGTGGGAAGACAGGCGTAACACTAACACCACCCTTCATGTCACACAGGGCAGTGCGGAGACATGTGGTCCCTTGAGCAGTGCTGCTGTGTTATAAACGGTGTTGCTCTTTTTTCCTTGCATGTGCAGTCACTGTAAAGACAAAAATGATTGCTCTTGGATGGCCCTTTGGCGGTCAGGGTTGTGTAAGCTGATGCCTATCTGTGTGACTTAGGGCTGGCCAACGGTCCAGATGCGCTGGAGACAGATGGCCTCCAGGAAGTGCCTCTCTGCAGCTGCCGGATGGAAACCCCCAAGAGTCGCGAGATCACCACCCTGGCCAACAACCAGTGCATGGCCACTGAGAGCGTGGACCACGAAGTAAGCAAATTTGTTTTCAACTTAAAACAGGAACAGAAATGTCATGTACAGAAAGCCCAATCCTTCCTGTTATGCCACAAGACTCCATAGCTTCCCTCAGTTCATGGTAGATGCATAGGGAACCCAAGTAGACTGTGTAAGAATGTTTGAGCCAGTAGCTTGAGATGAGAGAGTCCACATGGACTGCTGCCTGGATCTGTGGCTGCTGGAAGGACAAGCCTATCCCAGGGGCCCAAGCATCTGTTCTGTGTGCTGTCACTTTTCTTTCCGATCTGTGATTCAGAGAGGATTTTCTGCTTTTCCTTTTTATTCCATCCAAGCTACAAGTGTACTGCTTGGTGCCATCCACACCCAAAACTCTTAAACTAATCAGTGGACTGGTCCATTATCATACTCCAGTCACTCCCAAAAGCCCCACCTGTGTGGGCATGGTGTGGGATGGGGGTGCGTTTAGTTACAAACTGTAACAGTTAGTGTATATTTGTTGGTTAGAATGTCAGCAGCACATCTTTTAGAGCACTACTTCTTTGTGCTTTTAGGTGTTTGATTCTTGCCCTTTGACTACTAGTCCCTAAGATACTGAGTTGAAACACTAGGGTTATAGCTTAGTCAAAGAACATGCACAAGGCTCTGGGTTCAATCCCCAACACACAAAAATAAATAAAATGGGTGTGGACTTGGTTCTCTTGTCAGCTTCTGGATATATTCTGAGAACTTCATCTTTAGGTAATTTTGTCATTGTGTGAACATTGTTTCTTCATTTTATAATATCATTATGAACTCATGTGTTTAAGTACACTTGATGGGTTTGATTTTTGGTGTTATTGTTGAAGGTCAGACAGCCCATCCTCAGCTCACAGGACACTCTTCCTGTTGACTCATGAGGAGTCTGTGGGGTCAGAATTGTTTCACAGTGATGCTGAGAGGTTAGGAGCCTTTCTACTCTCAAGCTCTCCTAGTGTGTGTGTTTAGAAGCTCAGTACCACTGGATGATGTGCTCATATCTAGTAACAGAAAGCTGTTCAAGGGTACAAGCACACCCATGGGTGAATTAACAGCACGGATGAAGTGTGATAGTCTTATGTGAGTCCACCTTGTACCAGATTGGAAGGAGGTACCATTTGTGGATCTGTGGTGTAATAACAGAGAATACAGATTCCATAGTTACTAGCCTTGAGTGCAGGGGAGATAGCATATGCTGTCTTTTATTAAACTAGATAGGAAAGTATTTTTCAACTAATAGAACACAGTGCCAGTTACTCAAATTTTTGTGATTTGGGGCCCATGGTATAGTTAACATGCACATGTTCAATTCCTAGCACCACAAAACATATGTTTTGGAAAATGATTTTGCATTAAAATATTCTTTATATTGACATGCGATAGATTTATTGTTTTAAAAAAATAACTATAATCATTTGAACAAAAGCTCTTGGGATCCTCAGTCACTGTAGCGTATGTGAGGACCCTAAAGCCTACTTTCAGGAGGCCTTTCCTCTCTGCTGCCACTGCTATCTGTTTCATTTGGTGTTTATTCTCTTCCCAGTATCTTTTCCTTAGGCCTTCCTATAGAGGCCTTGGCACTCAGTGTTGAGCCAGAGGCCTCCGGGATATTGTGTGCTCCACATTCTGGGTCCGAGAGTCAGCCTCATCCAGATGCCAAATCACCCTATCTTGTGGTTAGGAGCTGGACTCTCTCCCTGCTGATGACTTGATTGTGTTTCCGTGTTGTCTGTGGGATTTGGCTTGGCTGAATAGTGGTTTCTGCTGTTCTGTATAGATTCCAGGAAGTGCTGTGAAGTGGTGCTCACTGTATCTCAGCTGTGGCCTGAAACTTTCCCCTTCAGACTACCTTCTCTGTCTTTTGTCTGTTTTTCATTCAGATCATGAAGGCATAATTTGCCCATGGTGAAAGTGAAGAAGTTTTTGGCACTCAAAGGGTTTTAGATTTTGGAACGTTTGGGGTTGAGGGCGTTCAGATGAGGAGTATTTAACATGTATTAGCCTTTCTTTTCTTTGGCAGCATTCTTGTTGCTGTGTTTTTATTTGTGTTACTCACATGGCTTTTCTTTAGAACTCAGTTGTGATGTAGCATTCATGTCCTAAGTCTTTGTCTGCTGTCCATTTCTCCTTCTGTCACTGGGTTCATGTTCCTCTAGTGTAGGACTTACATCATCAGCATCACTGATCTTTTCTGGGGAAGTAAACCCTGTTGGTGGCTAGATGTTAGCAGCATCTCTGATCTTCACCCATTAGGTGCTAGTCTCTTATTCCCTACCGTGTTTCCCCCAAAATAAGACTTAACCAGAAAAAAATGACAACTCCAATCAGCCTTGGTCCTTGCCTTTCTTGTCATTACAGAGTAGCCACTGAGTGAGAATAGTGAGGTGAAATCTTCTGCATGTCACTGGTTATCATCATAATTAGAAACTGTTAGGGCTGGTTCCAGTTAGGTTTTATTTTCAGGGAAACAAGGTAGTTGTAGCCATAAATTTCTCCATTGGTGGCCAGTTGTCCCTGGGAGATTGAGGCTGCAAAGGACCACTGCTCTAGGGCACCTTGTTTAGTTTAGATGCTATGCTAATGGATGGTCTTCACAGTTCCTATTTCACCCAGGGCCTTATGCCTTCTTGTGTGCCTCTGGAGACTGGAGGTCACCCGCCATGCTGGAGCCAGTCTTAGGGTCCCAGCCTGGGTCTGCTCCTGCCATTGCAGGGAAGCTTAGCCTATGTCAAAGGTAGGAGGTCCCCACATCCAGGAGAGGGAGAAGGCCTCAGCTAGAATCCTGGCCTGGACTACTGCTGCCCTTCTACAAAGGTTTTGGTTGTCCTTAGTCCTTCCTCCAGTCACAGCCAGGTTTCACCTATGCCTGGCACTAAGGTTTGCTGCTCTCTTGTTTGGTGAGGGAGGAGGAACTGTGTGAGCTTCTTGCCAAGGATGTGTCTCCTAGTCTGGACCTGTGCCATAACCATGCTAAGTGCTAGTACCCAGGGGTTGTGGCCCAGGATTCATGTCAGTCTTTGTTAACACAGTTGAAACATCAGCATGCTCTCTGCTGGTAGGCCACTATTCATGTGTGGCCCCTGTGTGGAGGACAAGTCCCTGATAGATCTATGGGTGGCCCGGGGTCCTCTTATTGTTGGTTGGAGCAGTGCCCCTTCTGTATCCTGCCACTCCAGGGAGAAACCTCAGCAAGGGCTAGCCATGGGGCGCTGTGTTCTGCACCTCCTCTCACTTTCCCCAGAGTGACACTCTAACCTCTGACCACTGAAGTAGCTCTTACTGCTTGGCCCTTGGATGGCTCAGTGCTTTGGGGTGGGCTTTGTGTCTGGGCCTCAGTCCTGACACATTTGAGGTTCTCCCTTCTCTGGTTCTCCAGGTTCTCCTCCTTGAAACACTTCTCTTTAGCATTTCTCCCTACTTCCATGACCTCCCAGCTGGGTATATGGCTTCATTCAATCCTCAGTACCACCCAAAAGGAAAAAAAAAATCACCTGTTTTTGTTGTTATATATTGTGTTTTCATATGGAGGTATCATTGGTTCACCTTTTATTCTGCTCTCTAGTCCTTCCCAATTCTGCGTCTCAGTCTGGGTCTCTCTGGATCCTTGTCCGTCAACATCCCCAGTTTTTAAGGCATGCTGTGAAAAGTTTCATAGCTGAGCAGGTAGGGTGCCTTAATTGTATGTCTTTCCTGGGACTGTTTAAATACCCCCCCACCGAGTTAATAATGTCATCTTTCATTTTTTGATTTCTATTTACTTGTAAACTCATCCCAAATTGATGGTGTTGACTTTTTTTTTTTTGAGACAAGAACTCACTGTATAGTTCAGGTTTGCCTTGAACACCTTGTGTAGCCCAGACTGGCCTTGAACTCACAGCGATCCTCCTGCCTTAGCCTCCCAAGTGCTGGTCTTACAAGTGTATGCTATGTTGACATCTTTTTGAGTCTTCAGACACATCCTGTGTGTCTCTCCTGCTGGGCCTCATACCTTTGGCTCATTCTCATCTTGTATGTGTTGAGGGTAGTACCTTCAGTCTCTTCTCAAGAAAGGTCACTTAGGAGAGAACTGAGATTTTGCATTCTGAAAATACTCTGTCTCTGTTCATGGACCCACTGCCCCAATTCCCCAGAGTTGCCATAATCTTGTACCTGATGATGCTGTGATGATGTTTCTTGCACACACTTCTTCTCTTGGCAAAAACTCTCTGCTCTAGCTTGTTCTGACTTCAGCCAATTGGCCTTAGTCTTCATCTTTTGTCTGATCTCACTATTGGTGAATATCGTGTTGAATCATATATTCTCAACTAGAGATCTGGGTGCTAGAGGCCTTGGCCTGAGGCTGTCCTGCCCTTGCTCTTTGTCTCTGTTCCTGGCTGCACCTGCTTAGGTGTTTTGGAGTAGGAGTAGGATCCTTGTCTGTGGACATGCCTAGACTCTGGCTCATACTGGCTGGAATGAAGTTTTGTAAGCCAGCACTCAGGGCCAGACTCAGAGGCTTCTGTTTTGGCTTGGAGAAGAGCCCACAACAGCCAGGATCTAGACTTCACTGCCAGGTTTCAGTGGCTTAGACATCAGAGAACTGTGTAAATGGGAACCTTGTTGGTCAGATGGGGGATTCTGCAGCAAGCATTCCCCAGATTCTTCAGTGGTGAATGGTATGAATGGGAGCCAACGTTTCAGAGTTTTCCTGTTGACTGGGACAAAATACCTGATACCTGCAACTTAAAGGAGGAAAGATTTATTTGCTTCAGTTTCTAATGGATTCATCCCAAAGTTGGCTGGCTCCAAAGCAGACACAGAATGGTAGAAGGGCCTGGCGGCAGAAAGCTGCTCAATCCATGGTAGCTGGGAAGAAGGGAGAAGCCGGGAACACCATACCCCAGTGACCACCCCTGATAACTAGGTCTCACTTCTAATATCACATGAACCACTGAACTCATCCATGGATGAGTCCTCAAACGAGGATCGTGTGATCCAGTCACCTATCAAAAGGCTCA